CTTGAAGGTAAACAAGCGGCCATCTAGCTCAGAAGCAACAAAGCCCACATAGAAGAAGCACACCAGCCTGTGTGATCGCGAAGTGCCAAAGGGATGAGTTATCAGGCATCAAATTATTGTGAATGAGGGCAAGTGCAGATTGGGGACCCAAGACCCATCTGTAGGCAACTGAATATCCCCTTACAGAAGGGCTGTGTGGAGCAGATGAGCCATTCAGGCCAGTATAGCAAAGATGAAACATACAACTTTCCTGTAGTTCCTAAATGCTCCTCCCCTCCTCCCCTCTCCTCCCCCCACTATCATGATCCCAATGATATGATTTTTCATTCTTTGATGCCTGATTCTATCTTACAAATCTAGCTAGAGCAGAGGATGTACCCTGGTACAGATAGGAACTGGAAACACAGGGAATCCAGGACAGATGACCCCTTCAGGACCAATGCTGAGAGTGGCAACACCAGGAGGGTGGAGGGAGGGTGGGGTAGAAAGGGGGAACCAATTACAGGTATCTACATATAACCTCCTCCCTGGGGGGATGAACAACAGAAAAGTGGGTGAAGGGAGACTTTGGACAATGTAAGATATGACATAATAATAATAATTGATAAATTAGCAAGGGTTCATGAGGGAGGGGGAAAATGAGGAGCTGATACCAAGGGCTCAAGTAGAAAGCAAATGTTTTGAGAATGATGATGGCAACAAATGTACAAATGTGCTTGACACAATGGATGGATGTATGGATTGTGATAAGAGTTGTACAAGCCCCAATAAAATGATTTTTTTTTAAATAGGCTATTAGAACAATTTTTAATTAATTTACTTTAAGGGGTTTAATTTTACTTTTGTAAAAAAGTGACTAGCCAACTATCCAAACACTATTAATAGCCATTCATCTTTTCCTCATTGATTTCAAATGCTCTGTTTAGCAGCATATGCTAAATTCCATGAAAGAGTTACAGTCTAGGAAACTCACAGAGGCAGTTCTACCCAGTCCTACAAGGCCATTCTGGGGTCACATTGACTCAATGGCAGTGAGATTGGATTGGAAATTTCATAAGTATTTGACCTTATTGCTGGATGCTGGATTCTATCCTATTGATCTGTCAGAACCAAATTCTTTGGATTTCTATAGGGATCCAATGCATTGCTATAGTTTTATAAGGTATTTTAATATTTAGTAGAAACAACCCTCTTTTAAAGTGTCTCTGGAAAAATAAAACTATAAGAATAAGATAAATAATAAGTGTCTCTGGCTATCCCAGCAGCTCTCCTGTTCCGTACCCAACCTGGACTGGTTTTAGCATCCCTACAGCAAATTTTAAGAAACAAAAAATAATTGTTTCTTTACTGAATTTATATATTAATTTAGGTGGAACTGATATGCTTCCAAAAGTGAGTCCTTCTATTCATTTAAATCTTTTTGAAAGTTTCCCAGTAGATATATTTAAAATTACTATTGAACATTTCATATTACTTTTTTCCTGAGAATTACTCAGTTGTTAATGTAAATAGATGTTCATTATTATATTTTCTTTCTGGTTGTATTTTATGTAGCAAGGCTATTGGTTTTAAAATTTTATCTAGAGATGCCTTTATCAAATTTTCCAAACGTTTTTGGTGGGTTTTTATTTATTTAATTTATTTTTTACCCAGTTAACCTTGGATTTTATGTCAAAATAAAACAATAATAACTTTGTCTCTTCCTTCTCAATTTTCACATGTCATTAATTTCATTGAGCTCATTAGTTATTCCTGGAAGATGTTACATAGTTGGTGCCGATAATGAGTATCATTGTCTCATTTATAACTCTAATGAGAATTCAAGAGTTCAGCTAGTGTTTCAGCCCTAATGAGATATCCATCTAGCTCTCTCTTATTAGGATCTTGTGGATGTGTGTTTTCATGTACATGTGAAAATGTGTGTGTGTGCATGCAAGAAGCACACCAGCCTGTGTGATCGCGAAGTGCCAAAGGGATGAGTTATCAGGCATCAAATTATTGTGAATGAGGGCAAGTGCAGATTGGGGACCCAAGACCCATCTGTAGGCAACTGAATATCCCCTTACAGAAGGGCTGTGTGGAGCAGATGAGCCATTCAGGCCAGTATAGCAAAGATGAAACATACAACTTTCCTGTAGTTCCTAAATGCTCCTCCCCTCCTCCCCTCTCCTCCCCCCACTATCATGATCCCAATGATATGATTTTTCATTCTTTGATGCCTGATTCTATCTTACAAATCTAGCTAGAGCAGAGGATGTACCCTGGTACAGATAGGAACTGGAAACACAGGGAATCCAGGACA